GATATTTTATTTCAAGACTGGATATTGTGGGGAAAACAACTGAAATAATTCAAGGAATGTTTTACAGACCTACCAGATATGCCTATTAGAACATTTCACTCAGTATATTTGTTGTTGCAGGTTAGTTGTAGCTCGTGTGTACTTTATGCAAACTTTGTATTGTCCTTTTGTTTACCATGTGTAGAAACGCCTTGTTTACACTGTGGTTTAATGCTCTAGCTGGAAGGTATTCCATGTGTATTGCATTGCAGTGTGTTGTTTCTGATGTGTCTAGGTACATGGAGCGTCAGTCACATCCCCAGTCAGTATGTGTGAAAGAGCTAAGAGTGAAAACTAATTGCATTTCTCCAACTGAGTCCCACTCTTCTAAGATAGACGGAGGCCGGATGCAGTTTGATCAGCTTCTGAGGCAACAAGCCACAGGAGCAAATCAACAACACAGAGACTTCCAACTCTGAGATTGTAATGTTTTAGAATGAATCACACTGTTTGTGCTGCAGGAGTTTTGGCTCAAATGATGCATTAGCAGTGCTTAATTAGAGTGGGTTATCTCAGATAAGCTTCCTGAAATGAGAGTAAACACAGGTTCAAACTTAATGGAGTGCCAAGAAGCAAGAACCGTCTCTTTCTCTCTCACTTAAACAACACTAACATTTAAAAAGTATGCACGCATAAATTGTGAAGAGTCTGGAGCTTAGTTTTGTAATTTTCTTATAATGTGACAAGCATTGTTTTTGTCTGAACACATTTTAGCACATTGTGCCAATTTGTACAATCTTGTTAGGAGGGTGTCAATAAAGATTAAGGAAAATATTTGACTATAGCTTAAATGACATTTTTCTCCAAGGCTTTAGTTCTACAGGTGCAAATAATCACATGTTCCACAAAATCCTGAGGATAACACAACAGCACAAAGAAAGGGGCTTTGTATAAGGATGTTAAAGTGTAGTTTCACGTTACTACAATCAGCCCAAAGCCACTGATGTGCTCACCACAGACAGAGGCCTCTGCTGTGTGATGTGCTGCAGATTTGTCTCATCTGCTGAAAGTCAGACACATAAAAAATTGGAAAAAGTTTAGATTTACTCAAAAGTTATCCATCTTTAAATTAAGACAAACTCATTTTTCTAGCACCTAATGCAAATATTTTCACGTTTTCCATCATTGTGTGTTCGTAATTGTGGTGGTGAGGAGGCAGAACTAACTTGGAGTCCCAGCAGATGATAACATGTAGCTGGAAATGCTTAATAATTTCATCGCCATCATCAAATCTGGGAGAGCTGATGTCTACAGGACTGCAACAGCACTGATTTTATGTTGTGTTTGGAAAACATTACCATTACGGTCTTGTTTGAAATGATGGATTGCATTTGGCAATGTAGCAGCAAGTCTCAGCTGTTTTATATTTTGAAAACAAAATGAGCCTTGGCCTTCCAGCAGGTAACCTGCAGCCAATCAGACTGTGGTGAGTTTTACATTTAGGCTCTTTATGAGCACTGTGTTTTTGTTCTGTTTTTGTTTTTTAGGCCCCTGTCATGTTTTTGTAGTCATGGCCACAGTGCTGTTGGTTTTGATAATATTTTACTAACCAACCTCTCCTGAGATGTGGAGAGAAGAGCAGTCACACAGTCCGACTGCTGAGTTCTGCTGAAAATATAGTGATTTTATGTTTCGCTGTTTGTTTGGCTGGATACTTTTGCACACCTGGTACACATCTGTCACTTCAAGATAAATTTCAGCATAGTTCCATTAATCACTCATTCCTGTTCTGAGTTAATCTATTTGGAGAAGAGTGAATGCAAAATAAATTTTCACAGACACACACAGTATAAAGCTGAAACACAAGGATTTGCCTGTGAATGTTTGGACAGGCAGGGTGGGGCATTTTGGGCTCCAGTTGAGATGATCTTTTCATCATGACACATCACAACAGAACATCACGTACAGTTCAGAGCTGGAAACCAGCAGCTTTGCCTAATACTCACTGTTCTTAGGCCACGGCTGCACACCTACGTAAAGGTTTTGAGAGCAGGCTGATTTGTGTGTCTTCTCTCACACAGGCACACCCTGTGTCCTCCTGTGGCATTCTCATTTGGGGAAGTATATGACCTTGGTTCTGAGCTGTCCTGATTAGCATGTTTAAGTGGAGAGTGGGAAACATTCAGAAAACAAATTTATGAATGAATATCTGCTGGAACAGTCGGCCTCATGCCCTCAGTGTAAAGAAACATGTGCATGCGTGTCTGTGCCTTGTACTTGCTTATAAGAAGCCTCAGCTCTGGTGCAGTATGGATTGGCAGTCAGCAGTGTTACAGCACCCAGTGGATCACAGGCTAATGTGTGAAAATGTATGTGCGGAGGTGACGCAACAAAAAGCTGTGTTTTGACACTGGTTTATACAGGCAGTTTTAGTGATACCATCAGAATCGGATGCCTCAGGAAAGCTATGTCACAGTGTATGAAAGGATGTATTTTATTCTTTTGCACATAGCAAGAAATAATTTTCCTTCAGAAGATCTAGAAAGGATGTTCCTTTTATCTGTGAGGAAACCTAAACTGGCTTAGTAGAGGAGAGCTTCCCTGGGTCACAACAGGAGTTCATGACCGTCAGGACGAAATACAACCCTCATCTGATACCACAGACTTTACCGACCTGAAGGTGTGAATCATAAACCAAACACTAATCCCTGGTGAGGAGGGTGGGCATTGCGATCATGTTGGACCAACAGTGGATCTTCTTAATGCAGCGACATAGCACAAACACAGTTACAGGCCCAAATTAACCCTGGTTCTGTATTTGCTTTGCTCAGTTTCACCACAAGAACATTAAAGTTACATCTTATATATTATTTGGTGTTTTGTTCCAGTGGTTTTCATTTACAAACACGTAGCTTGGCCTGAGTAACAGATAAACCTTTACAGGTTTACAATTAATCATTCATGATTTATCTGTAGGATATTTTGGCAGACTGCTAAAGTAAAAGAAAATGCACAAAAAGTTTTTTATGAGCCAAGACGGTCTGGATGAGTCTCTGTCTCTTTCTTTCCCTCTCCCACATTAGTTTGATGAATAACACTGACACACACAAATATCAGGGGTCATCCATCAGCTTCATACCAGCTCACAGATAGAAAGGAGGACATCAAATATTAACGCCCAAACTCCTCCCTGCACACAGCCGAACTCTGACACAGTGAATTATTGAAAGTCTTCAGCAAAACCACTGACACACACCCACAGCCGTGGATGGGCAGGTTAAGTAATCGGAGCTGTAGTCACACTCTGCACTGACTTCCACTTGAAAATCCATCATGAAGTCCAGTGTAATGGTAAAAATATTGAGCAGAAGTCAAGAATAACCGTATCTTCCTACCAGAAGGATAGTAGTAACTTTAATTTCTTACCACTTGTGTCTTATGTAAGTAGTTTTGCCCATCATTTCTCTCTTCTTTGCACTTACTAAGAGCTGGGAACACAGTGACATTACTAAAAAGAAGTTATACTGCACCAGAAACTTGAATGGTCAGATGATCACACAGGTTAAACAAGCCAACTGGTAAAACTGTAAAACAGATGCACCAGAGATGCTGGTAAAAAATATCTCCCTGCATAGCAACAACAGTTCAGTTTGAAGAGACTCTGCCATATGGATATGAAGTAAACTGATTTATTAAGAAAGTTGACTGATTTGAATGCAGTAATGTTACTGGTGTACATTGTATTTCCAATGAGCCTGTGGATGCCCTCACCGGGCCCAACAGGGCCCCTCTGTACATGAGGGTTTGAGACATATAGTTTAGGTCAGACTTTAGGCTAGACAGCTGGAGCACTCAGATGTCTGCTTTCTTTAATGATAAGGGTGCAGGACTTTTTTGGCTCTTCTTACCATTGCTAACTCTGAGAGACAAGACAGTCCAAGTAACTTCAAAACAGTGCTGATTTATTCAAAGGATCACAGGTAAAATTAACATTACACGCTCAGGTATCTTGCACCTCCAACCTGCTCGCAGGCAGATGTAAGATGAAAAACCCTGAACCCACCAGGCCTGTACATTATATCCCCTCGGTTGGGCTAGACCCATACTACACAGAAACGTCAACCGGGATGTCTCTGTTGCCAGCCTTGCAGCTGGTCATAGCAGTAGTCAAAACATGAAGCAAATCAATGTGTGAATGTGTATGTCTGTTGGTTAAGTGGTGTGTAACTAAAAACATTCTCACGACCTCTAGTAACATGTCGTGACATTAAACATAAGAACATATTATGGCTAAGGCTACAGTTCTACACGTCATAATAATAATATTAAACACCCTGTCTGTTGACAGTCATCAACTCTTCTCTCTAGTTATCCTTGACCAGATGTACCCTGTAGAAACTCATAAGCATGACTAAGCATTTAACAGTCTAACTAGACATCCTATCTCCACTAAACATTTCTAATACATAAAGTATCTATCCAATTTCTATCTGACTAAAAATACCTAACAAGGGGAAAAACACCAAACAAATTCAACTGCATAGGGCTCAGGTTGAGTTCAGACATTATATAGGCTACTATAAAATTGCTGGGTCTGGGTCGGATGTTGCCCTCTTGTGCATGGGTTGGGTTTGGACAGAAATATGCAGCCTGATCCATGCTCTGTTTCCAGTGTGTGTTATATACATGGTTGTGGTCATGCTGGACGTCACATTGAACCTCTAATAACAGGATGCCTGTATCTGTTATTTAATTTTATTTCAGTGTAAAGAGGAGCCAGCTTATTGTCAGTACAGCAGAGTCTTTGATGTTGAATTAAAGATTAATTACAACAATAAAACACGCAGCATGTAGAATTAGAAGGCGTGAACACATCCATAAAGACAGATGAACACGATAAACAGCTTCAAGGAATGTAACAGACACTGGGCCATAGGGAGAAAGAAGAAGCAGGTGAGTCTAAAATGCAAACAAGAATGTACAGTTCACACCTCAAATGACACTCATCTCCCTCCTTCTAGGGTCTTCTGAAAGTTGCTCCAGCATACCATCCCCCTGTGTTGTTCCCACCAGTTCCCCAAATGGGTGCCCAGCGGGGAACTAACAAGAAGATGACAGTCTGTCCCTGTGGGTAACACCAGCAGCAACAAAGCCAGCGGGGTGAAAAGGTTAGGAGGAGGGGTGTGTCAGTGAGAGAAGAGGTGAGAGAGCGTGGAGAACATAACACTCAACCTCTTCCAATTAAGGAGCCAGCAGGTGCCAGAAGCTGTCACTGGTGAGGTTCTCATCAAAACACAAGGTCAGTGGATTGTTACTTCCCTATTCTTTACCGCACCTTGTAAGATGCTTTAAAATGGTATTCCACACGATCCCTGTGAGAAATGAGCAAATCCATGTGTCTGCATGATTACAGTGCATTTCCTTGCATGCTAATTTATAAGAATGAGCCATATGGCTGAGGGTGGGGGTGGTGTGTGTGTGTGTGTGTGTGTGTGTTACTGCAGTCTAGACCAATCAAACGTCACCGCAAAGTGTTTGTTAAGCATCATATAGTGTGTCTGTTCTATGGGGATTTAATCAGGAGAGGCTGGGTATGTTTGGGTGCCTTTAGAGGACGCCCCAGGCTCAATCCCAAAACATATGTGAGTGATTATGACAGATGGGGCCCTGGACAGGGGCTGGAGGGGGTGATGTAGGGCTTTGTCAGGTTTTAGAGGGCTTGCATCAAATGTGACTTAATGTTTTTAAATGATGTATTGGTGTGACTAATTCAGCTCTGGGAGTTTGTTTTTCTGCAAGTACATCATATATTTCCCTCCAGCTGCCCCCATGCAATCCTTTTCTTTCTGACTCAATGCTTTATGGTCTTATACATCTGGGAATGTCTGCAAGAGAGAGAAAGAGGGAGAGAGAGATGCTTGTCCAATGATACTACTGTGGGCAGCCCCACTGAAATGCTGACTGTATTTTTAACCATGTTATTGTCTGATATGATCATCTTTTTTAATTATCTGACCAAAAATAACAGCAGGAACTGTCTCGTTATGATGTGATGAGCTCATCATATCTGCCTACATTTAAAGGAATATTTTGACATTTTGGGAATTGCACTTATTTGCGTTCTGGCCAAGAGAGAGATGATTAGATCAGTGTCATTCTGTACATTAAATGTAAAGGTGTAACCAGGAGACTTAGCTTAGCATAAAGACAGGAAGAACCAGCTAACTTGTTTAAAAGTCTGGGTCTATTTAACGCCGTTTAATTTGTTCAAAAAATTTAAGTATTAGAGGTAGAGCTGGTTGATTTTTGTAATACTTGCTGAACACCTCTTTTCTAATAAAGCAATTTTGAAATAAAACCATTGTATATTGATGTAGTTGGGGGCATACAGAGCACCACAGCCTTTTCACCGTTGCTTTGAATGTGACCATTGTAGGATATGGTTCTTCTTACCATTGCTAACTCTGAGAGACGAGACAGTCCAAGTAACTTCAAAACAGTGCTGATTTATTCAAAGGATCACAGGTAAAATTAACATTACATACTCAGGTATCTTGCACCTCCAAACTGGACACAGGCAGATGTAAGATGAAAGCCCCTGACCCCACCAGGCCTATACATTATATCCCCTCGGTGGGGCTAGCCCCATACTACACAGAAACGTCAACCGGGACGTCTCTGTTACCAGCTTTGCAGCTGGTCATAGCAGTAGTCAAAACATGAAGCAAATCAATGTGCGTGTGTGTGTCTGTTGATTAAGTGGTGTGTAGCTAAAAACATTCTCACGACCTCTAGTAACATGTCGTGATATTAAACATAAGAACATATTATGGCTAAGGCTACAGTTATACACGTCCTAATAATAATATTAAACACCCTGTCTGCTGACAGTCATCAACTCTTCTCTCTAGTTATCCTTGACCAGATGTACCCTGTAGAAACTCATAAGCATGACTAAGCATTTAACAGTCTAACTAGACATCCTATCTCCACTAAACATTTCTAATACATAAAGTATCTATCCAGTATCTATCTGACTAAAAATACCTAACACCATCCAAAGCAGGTATACACATTTTGCACCTTGAGACATCAGTACTTGGTCAATATTCACATGTTGTTTGCCAGAATACTCCAGCTTTGTTGCTCTATGCTTTATAGAGACTGTCCACCTCTAAAAACAACCAGCAGTTATGTATTATGGCAAATTCTAGTGACCATAGTAAGTTAGGTGATGTGGCATATGGAGGCAGGAAGTCCAGAAAGTCATTGGGCGGAAGGATAGGTAAACAAAACACAGGAGTGAGTGGGGCTCAAATCCAGTGTGTGATGTGTGTCTTTCAAGTCGTGTTTGTTCTTAAACCAAAACGTGACCAATTGTATTGAAACTGTAATGACTTCATAATTACAAAGGCATGTTTATAGCCGTTTCCATGTTGATGAAAGTCTGGTAAGCTTGTCGTTTTGACGTAGATTATATTGTTGTTAATGTCGGCAGACTTCTTGCAATGCCGCTTGGCAGCGTAGTGGTGCTTTTTCAGGAACTGCTTCCATGGGTTGTATGACAGGGAAGAGACAAACGACCTGCGTGGGTCGTACAGGTTGGAGGACTTGTTGCTTTTATAGACACAACAGTTTGTTTGTTTTTGTCAACTCATGGCTCTCACTTTGCTGCAATGCTGATTATTTGTGCTTCCTATTGTGCAGAGCTTCGACTCAGCCTGCAAACTTCTGATAATAATGACTTTTAATTTATGCTTTTACTGGTTCTCCGCTACTGAAACACTACAGTCCACGGAGAACTGTCTTTCATGACAGATGATTTATTTGTTTAATTTATTTAACATTCCTTTTTAGCTGTGAGGAGGACCAATCAAGGCATATAATCAACAAATAATAAGCTGCTGTGCCCACTCTGCTGCAGTGCGAGTCATTTTATTCCTTTATTTAATGAGTAAACACTATCTTTTTCTCAAATGCTTGAGACCCAGGAACAACAAAATGATGCAAAACCAACAGACAACCAACAGTACTTATTGTTATTCACCATAAAGTTTTATTTCTGGGGAATTGCAACTGTTCCTCTGTATTCAAATTTGGTGAGAATGGTTTCAAAGCTCTGGAGCAATGCAGTGGAAATCTCATTACTGTGTACACATGCTGGAAAAAATGTTGGCTCCCAGGCAAATTAAACGCCTTCTCCTGAATCGCAATAGGCTTGTTAGGATTTTAGTGTGGAAATGTAGCACAGAGGGGGAGAAATGCTGGCTAACTGTTCTGCCACTACCTGACTGCTTTAACAAGCGAGGTTAAACTATAACCTGCAGCCCGCTGTGCCCCTCTCAACAGCAGCTACATGAGATGATTTGAATGTGACTGCTGGAATTCTCAGCTTTGGACAAGGCAGTAGCCTGAAGCACACTGGCAGGTGTGTGTGTGTGTGTGTGCGCGCGCAAATGTCCTGCTTAACAGATAAACACCCATTGGCATTCAGATCAGTTCACATTCCAGTGTCATGTACTAACATTCCTGTGATTCACTCACCATGTTCAGACAAATAAGGTGAATGTGATGCATTTTTAAAAATTTGACCAAATGTTAAGGAAGATGATATTAGGTGCTAACAGGAACAGTGACATGACTGAGTTAAACCTTACTAAGTCCAAAAAAGTCACAAACATGTTTTCATGCTTGGTTGAGGTGGTAACGTTGGTGTAATGATTCTAGTGAAATGTAGGTTTGCTGTTCTCCTCACTGAGAAATGTGTTGGGTTCCTGAAAGGTTTTTGACCTTAGAGTTATGTAGGAAACTGGGCAACAATATTAGGTTTATGTAGGAAACTGGGCAACAATATTACTATAGAAACAATGTGCAGTGTTAGTATGGGTTCAAATATTCAGTCACTTTAAAGAAAAATGGATAAAGCTTTCATATGGTACTGAACATACATTTAATAAGAAGTCCAAGGCTCCTTGTTGCCCTGTTGAAAACAGGTACCATCCATGAAGCCTGGTTGTGTGAGCTGAGAAAGACTGAGAATGAACCACAGTTTCTCTCGTACTGTCCCTGCTGTGGGAATTTAAGGATATTAAATGAAATATATGACGCTAGTTCTGATTATGTCTGAGTGCAGATGTAGAAAAGATAGAACAGATGTTTAGTCTGTGTGCACTGAAGTTGTCAAACTTTGTGTCTAAAGCATGGAAAGAAAGGATGTTTTGCTTGTTTAAGTAGTGATACGGTGAATCATAGGGGAGACAGGATCTGGCTGTGTCTTGTAAGCCTGTGTGGGCTCAGCACGTAAAAATGCATGACACAATAATAAAAATAACATCAATCAAAGTAACTAGAACTCATTGAAATGATTCATTTATTCAAATAAATATTCATCTTTGCAGGCAAAATACTTAAGTGCATAAAGATCAAATTGCAGTGCAGTCATGTTCATATTTAAATGAAGCTGCAAATGCAAAAGTCAAATGTATGAGTACTGTATGTAGAGTATATATACTTGTATGTGTCTCTGAACATAAAATCACCTCATGATTTCTAGGTCAATTAACATTCCACTGTCATTTCAAAGATAGTGACTGAGAGCCACAGGAGCATTCAGGGATAACCGATGCTCCCAGCACAGAGCCATACTGTATCAAACTGCCTTCGAAACCTGAAGATAAAACCCACAAGAATGTCAGCCTTCGGGCTTTGGCTCCAGGACTTTTAATGACACAGACAAAAGTTCAATTATCTCAGTGGTCACAGAGAGTGACAGAAAAAAATTGCAATACACTGCCGGCCTCAGGGAACAGCGATGTGAGTATTGAACAGTGACCTTGAGTGATCTCTGAGGTAACGAACATGCTCCATCACAAATGGACCAGCGCCAGGCCAGAGCCATCCATGCTGGAACCAAAAGCCAAAGATTTCATATGGGCTGCAGCAGAGCCAAAGTGGTGACTCAGTTGGTGGGTCAGCTTTAACTTGAGACAGAGAAGAAAGGAAATGTTGTTAGGAAATATGTAACACTGAAAAAGATGAGGTTTTTGCTAATATTTAAGTAAATATGGAGAAGAAAAAACTATATAAACAGAGAAAAGGAACTTAAACTTTAGACCACAGCTCATGAAATCCATCGGTAGAGGAGCATGCTGTGGTTGTTATGGAAACAGCTCTTCATTTTGCTGATGGAGTAAACTCCATCTGCTGCTGAAGACAGAGATATGGTTGAAAGCTTTGCAAAAAAGCTAGTAAATGGCAACAAGTAAATATTTTTGTTTGTTTTTTTTTTAACTGTCGCAG